TTTTTTTACCACATCGACTGGCTTTTCAGAACTTTTTTGAGTATCTCTGGCTTACTTGCTTTTGTAACTAGTTTCAATTAATTGCAGCGATTAGACGAGACTTCGCGAGAAACCAGAATCAAGTTATTGTTGACTATGATGAAGCACCGAAGAATCCTTCGATTACGACGGGAGTTTACGGGCAAAGCTGACAGGATTTCTAAAAGGATGGACAAGTGTTTGGATCAAGTTCGCACCGAAATCCTCCCTCCACTAGACGGACTACCATTGGAAAATTATTTTGGAGGTGCTGAGGCAGCAAAAAACCTATTTACCGAAATTGTTAAGAGGGAAGGGATATCGGACAAAAGTGTGTCAAAATTTCTTCGCATCATTGAAGACTCACCGGAACTGAGCTTCAACTTCTTCGATTCTGGTTCTTGTGAAGTCATCCCAGCTTAGTCCGTGCAACTGGAAGCTGAGAGCAATCGTTCTATTCTAGACAGTGATAATTTAGCTTTAGCTGCGAGACAAAACTTGAGTACACTATGGCACACTACACTAACAGTCAGCCGAATTTGTATTACTGAAGAACTCTAAATAATGTACGTACTTATAAATCTCTGCGGCGTTCTTAAGTTCTTTAGAAAACTAGTCCTGTAAATTTCTGTTCCATCACCATATCCAATCCGAACATGGTTCTTTGTAAAGTCTTGTCGTGTTAAACGACCTCCCTCCAAAACCGATCCCCGTCGTGATAAATTTTCACAGCACAACTCCTGTAAGTTTGTTTGCTCAGTAAGATTCCGAAGTGAAATGAAAACGCTTCTGCACAGAGCGGAATTGTTGAGCGATCCGTCCATGCAAACGCTAATTTCCACAACGCACCAGAGGCCGTTCTACTAAATACTAATAAAATTTGTTGCGTATCTGTCTGATCCACGTATCACAATAGCGCAAGGAATTTGAAATTTTGAGAAAATAGAATAATAACTACGGGGAGGGACCTCTAACGTGCACTTATTGAGCTACATAGTACCACATATAGCTTTAAACAATTACTTAAACCTTTACCTTTATCCACACTTAAAAAGTTCAACAGAGCAAATTCATTACATTTCAAAAGCAACAAATATAACACTTTAAAAAAACCACTGTTCGCTCATAACAGTAGTTCCATTCACTTGAATTATTTGAAGAATGGAATTTCAGTTTGCATTTTGCAAAATTAGTAGTACTGAGTTACACTACATGACTTTGATTCTGTCTGTAGTGAAATGGGAAAAGAAAAGCATTTTTTTTACAAATGCCTTCTAAATAAAAGTGTACTGTGCAACCTCGACTATATCAGGTGCTTCTCCATCAATGTCAGAGTCAATTTGGGCATCACAAGAAGCTGCGATTAAAGACTGACTTCAAAAAAGAAAGCAGGATCCACGAGAACAAATGTTATGTAGCTTTATAATAAGCCTTTAGTCATCAAACTTTATCACTTTGGGTCGTTTCGCATCCAACCGACATCCGGTTTTTGTAAGTGGTACTGAATCCTTAAAAAATAATAAGTCAAACTCCTTCCGGAGAACCCAAAATACTTAAGAGGCCTTAAATGAATCCAAACCTGTATAAGTTTGAGAGATCACATTGGTTATCAAGTCCTTTTTAACTTTGGCATTTAAATACACTTGTTTACTAACTGGAAAACCTTACTTTCTGAATCTCATCGCGCCTTCGTTTTCTAGAGGCGGCATCATTGCTAAGCTTGGCAGCAACCGATGAGCTTTTTTTATATATCATAATCGGCCTGTTGAAACCTAAAAAACAATGATAAATGCCTTTAGCGAAAATCATAATAATAACAGAAAGTAGAAGTACTGATTATTTGGAATTGGAGTAATCTCTTTATCATCAAAAAAATTTCCACATAGTTTTAAAACATTAAGAACAAGCCATGCATGTCAAAAAATGTTAAAACTTGGTGTTCGGAAGTAGTTTTTAACTCCTGCAAGGTGGCACATACTTGGGAGAACACGAAAAAAAATTAAAGTTCAGAATTTTTAAGACACTTTCTTGCAACATCAGAAGTTCAAAAACCATTACTATTGAGTCAACGTTTGATTTACTGAATATGAAATTTGACATAGAATGGAATGACCTTTCGACTTAGCCTTAGGTACTTCAATATTTTCACAATCCGTAAACCCAACTTCCTTCAAAAGGAACTCCTTGAAAGCACCAGGCATAAATTTCAAAGTTTTGAAAACTCTCAATGTCTCGGCCTGAAAGTTTAGTGACAAATATACGCACTTCTACAGTTTAAAAGATCCAATAAAACCATACAAATAAAGTCTTTGAGATGTCCAACGTGCAGTTAGCAAGCTAGCTTAGAGAGGAATACGAAAAGCAGAAAATAAAAACGAAGAAGACTTTCTGATGCTGTTTTCTAACTCCAAGCTTTTCAGAAAGAGTTTTACTTACCGTCAACTTTGCCCTCTTGTAATAAGATTTATAGTCCTGTGGCTCAAGAATCAGTTTACCACCGGGTCTCAAATGCAAATATATCCGTCTGAAAAATCGTTTCAGACCGTCATCACCCCAGTTTATATGAATCCACTTTGTGATGCTCAATGCAAGGATAACATCAAATTCTTCTTTCACCTGAAACAGTAAGCTAATAAGCACTCCACACCACCATTCGAAAAAGACTTGAACTACAAAAACAGCCCTTATTCTCAAAAAACAGCATTATCCAAATACAAAATTCGCAAGCATTATTCTTTTTCACTTACCGCATCGAGATATTCATCGTGCTCCAACACATAGTTTTCCTGTCGAAACCATACGTTATCTGGAAATTTCGTCGAAAAGGAAACTGGCGGAGCACTTACTGGACCGTAACGATGAGCAAATGAAGCTGGGAAGTTTCCTTCAATCTAAAAACAAATAAAACTCTCTTTAAAATAAAAATCAAGAAATGTTGGGCAAAAATGTACAAAAATCGCGATGAAACTTTACCTGGACACTTTTATCACAATAATGGCGAATATTTTTCCTTGCAACACCCACTAAATGGGCATCAATATCAATACCAAGAATGCGATTTGGAGAAAATTCTCTTGCAATCCATAAAGTTATGTATCCAGCATTACAGCCAATGTCTAACACTGACTTCTTTTCAAACCACTCTTTTTTAAAAACAGATAATCGAGGATCCTTGCCACTGCCTCGCTCGATGCGACAGCCGTAATAACGATCAAAATTGCCGTAGCGAAACCTAAACAGCTATAGTTTTAAAAAAGCGAAGAATACACGTGAAAATGTACAATCGTCTAGCTTCCAAAAGTATAAAACAAGTAAAACTACAATAAACTGAAACCGAATCTCATTCCTAAGAAAAAGGAAAACCATAACTTCTTCGGCAAGCACTCAACTACAGAGGTTTTTAAACCAAACGACACCGCATCCAAAACTTCCAGACAACAAAAAAAAACATCTCGTCAATTCCCAATACCCGCACCGTGTAAAGAAATTACTCATAATGTAATACAACTTGCAGATGTTGAAACTTAACTTTGATTCATCCTCGCCTTCTTGTTATCTGAAAATTGTGAATCTGACTTCTCCGAGGAGGACTCCACAACGGCAATTGCATTTTTTTCTTCCTTTTCGTTCCTTTGATTTTCCATTAACCGAAATCTCTTGGGTATACAAAACTTTTAGTCTTTCCAACTACGTGCTTTCTGCTTACCTTCTGATTAGAACTAAAATCTGGCAATTCTTGAAACACCAAATAAAAAGCAATGTTAAGGAGTTAGAAAACTTGATAAGTTCTAAGGAAGACGCTATATCATTTAATAGTTCTGTAACTCTTTCTTCCGAGTCCCTTCATTCCTTGACCAAAAATTAAAAATAAAAAAATTACAGCTAAACCAAGCGAAAAAACGCAAGACCGAGTTTTTAGAAGACCGGCGTACAAAACTGTAAGATATCTCATAAGTCATAATAACTAGACCTTGCAATAAAAAATCAAAGTACATTTACTATTGGTAAAACTTCAAACGGTTTCTGGACAAATAAATTTGAATGAAATTCGAATACTGTCTCAAGAACTTACAAACTTCGAGATCAGGTTTTTTAATGTGAGGTAACTTCCCTCTGAATTCTGTGTCCCGGTAAACAACGAAAAGCAAAAACTGCAGCTATCCCCCTAGATTTTTTTCGGAATGAGTGACTCGATCCACCGACAAAGTTCCCCTAAAATTGTGTCCAGACAAAACAAAAAACTCTAATAAATCTGCTATAAATAAAACAACACCAGTTTCTGTAAGTACTACAGACGAATGAATCTTAACACTACTGGTGTTGATTCAACAAATGATATGTTCTCGCTCATCGCGTAAAATACGGAAATAAACTTACTTTTTTTTATTACAAAGAAGCGAATTCCTTATTCACTCAACTTCCCCATCCCTCTATGTGTAACTTTTGCTGAGGTATGATCAAGCAGAATTTCTCGGGTCTGACGTAACCTTCCCAGAATTTAAAACC